GTAACCCATTATCTATAGCTTTTTAGGCGACTTTTGTGTTCCAGGTTACCAAAAGACCCAACGATTTGTACCAATATATTACAAAAATATGTGTCCCCCGATCAATGGAACCACTGTTACAGCATTAGTGACAACGAATTCTACCACGAGAATTGTTCATCCGAAAGCATACAAAAAGCTTTGTGTTATATGACGCGGACTGGACAATTGATGGTCATTTTGGGAGAAGCCAACGAACTTGAAAATCCGCCCCTCAACATGTATGGTCTCATGCGGCCCGACCTCCGGTATAACTAGTTCTTCGGATGTAGCAGCCATTGACGCCAGTTCGGTGATGATCACCATGTTCACCAAAGTAGAACCGACGAACCCTAACCAAGTTCCAAAAACAGAAATGTTCCCTCCGGTCAAGAACCCGGTGGTGCGAACCCAAATGTTTGGCTCAACTAGAACCCTACTGTCAGTCATTTCAACGGACGCCTACGTTTCATGTGTCTACAACAATCACAGTTTCGTACGCCGGTCAAAGCCAGTGCATGTTTTCGGCTCGCACAGCTCCCAAACGTTATCTGAACTCTTAACGTAAAGAGGACTCGGGCAAATAAAAAAAGTCTAACAAAATTTAAAATTGCTACACCAATCATCCCACCTCAAGGAACACGGATCATGGCATAAGATAAATCGGATTCCGGCCAAACAAACCCCAGCTGAAAATCATCCAATGGAGTCTAACCAACTGACCAATTTAGTGCAGCAGAATGCGGCCTGCAGAATAAGCAAATCAACATGGACCAGTTAATGGGTTTCCTTTTATTCGGCCAAGCTCAGTGACAGATATCATGCAGGTAGGAGGGATGTACGACCCCGTCTGTCAGGGTAGATTATTTTGTCAGCAGAGGCTGGATTCAACAGTGTACCCAACCTGCGAGTTTGAGAAGACTGTATACGGCCATTCTTTGGTTATCGCACACCCTAAATCATTCCACCTTTTAAGGCAATCATTCAGGCACTTTGCCTCCCGAGCTTGTTCACTACACCAGACCAAATACACCAATGAACTGTGTAGACACAGTCCAGTAGGCCGAACAGCGTCCCCTGGATACCCTCAGACCGATGGCTTCTCAGTGCTTCCTAGGTAAAACCGCCTATTTTCTAAGACAGCGGCGCACTACATTTTCTCCGTAATGATCAGGAGTTTGCCGCGTAACTCAAACAAACTGCTTCTACAATAAGGAGGAAAGCCCTTCGCCACTGATTTGTTTATCTGAAAATATCAACCGAACAGGGACAGTGAAGTAAACCTCTCAAGTGCACCTTGTTTTTTTAACTGAATATCCGTCTACTTCTTGAACTTGTCTCCTTGAAATCGCCTGGACATTAATTGAGTAACATGCAACTGGAAACTAATGGTGCAAAGCAGTTTTACAAATTCCGTAATAACCCCCACCTTCCAATCGGCTCGAAGCTGAGTTACACAAAAACATACTATTCGCATGCCTCATCAGTGGTATCCTCCGCTACATACCTTTGAAGACCAGTCGTATGCCGCCGATTTCCATTTACCTCCATTAGGTTGGCCTCAGCAGCTGGTCTATTCGGTAGATCTCCAAAGCTCAGTACTTTTCACCCTTTTCGATCCCCGAACATCATGAATTGTATGGGCATTCCGTCAGTGTTTTCTGCCGTGCTCCGTCTAGTCCTTTCCTGAACGGCGATCAAGTTTTCTCGAGCATCCTTCATTTCTCCCTCTAGCTGATCTGGAGACAAGTATGGTACCGGTCACAGCTCGATTTCCTGACCAACTAGAAGGCGCGGATGTCGACCGTGCATCAGCATGAATGGGGACTTGCCCTTGGCTGTGCGGAACCACGATTTGCTGGTAACACCATCGGTAAGTTCATTTTCTAGTCACCTTTGACTACCGGCCACTCCTCCATCGTTCGGTTACTGCTGTCGGTTAGACCATTTGTTTGCAGGGTGTATGCTGCCGTCCCTTGTTGTCTGATGCTCAGATCCTTCAAGCAACTCATACACTCTTCGCTCTCACGGCGAGAGCGTTGATCGGTAAGAATCATTTTGGCACCACATGGCCGGTCACTCTGCAACGCATGAGCACTCTAATGATCGTCGTCGTTCGTTGATTGGGCACGGCTGCTTCCTTGGCCCGTTGCGAGAGGCATTCTGTCACTACAATATATTGATTTCCGCTAGGCTTCACCGGAAAAGGGTGCATGAAGTCAACAGACCACAACGCACGTTTCTGAAACAGGAGTGTTTCATGGGATGTGTTGCCCCTGTCATATCACCTTTCATAGCTGACACCTAATCTGTCAACCCATTTCTCATTCCGGGACAATAGGTCCTTTGCCGAAGTAAGTCGCACGTTTTAATGCACCCTGTGTGCCATCTCGTGGCATTTGACGATCAATACGTAAGGTGTCACGAGCAGCGCAACATCAGAATCGGTGAATTTCCAAAATATTATACCAGCTTCACCGAGATTCAGCTTATGGAAGTGAATCTGGAACGTTTCCAATTCTCTGCCTTCCTCTCCGTTCTCGGAACTCCTTCCATCAAATACGGTGGCGGCAACCTTCCATAACACAAGATCCTGCGGTTGCAGTTGCGCCATCCTTTCGAGATTCAGTTTGAAAACGAGGCTATCGGGATCAGTTATGATCCTGGAGGGCTCACCTTTCGTCTCTGGTCTCGCCAGACAATCGCTAATCACTTTTTCTCAGTGTTAGTCATGACACGACTATCATATTTGATAACATTATTCCGCTGTTTCAGGAATGCGCCGATACCGCGGTCACCAGCGTTCGTTGCAACAGTGAACTCCTCTCCAACCCTTGGCAGTTCGAAGGTCAGTCGCTGATCCAGCATCCGCGCTTTGAAGCGATAGAAATCTCCGTGTACCTCCATGGTAAGTTTGAATTTCCGGTCTGCCCAGGCAGGTCGGGGAGTGGAGCAGAAATCACATTGAAATCCCAGCTGAGAAACTGCTGTTGAGATCTCTTTGAATTTGGAACAGCGCGGCACCCACTCTCGGCCAATTCTTCTGGATGTGGTCATTAGGCGCCGAAATGTAAATGATGCCCCAGACAAACCAAACCGGATCCCTCTGATTGATATTTGGTGTTTGCAATCGTGAACGCCGTTTTCTTCCGTTCCTTTGCCTTGATCGACAGTTGCCAGTATCCAGAACGCAGGTCAAACATTGTGGTATCGGAAATGTCCGAGGAAATCGCAGCTCTCCGCAACCGAAGGGGCGACTATGACTTAATTTACGGTCGTTTCATTCGAACGCGGGAAATCCAGGCAAAACCGGTAGTTTCAGGTCGCGGTTTCAACAAGCACACCGGGGAATTTTTACGCACCGTTGGCTTACTCGATTATGCCATGTTCAACAGCTCTTGAACTTGTTTATGATAGGTGCGGCAGTGAACGGGGGCCATTGGATCGAAAGCATCCGGACGAGCGGGGCAGCAGAAGCCGAACGGATTTTCGTTGCCCGTTTGCAGTTCAGAATATACCCCCACCGCGGACTGTACTGACAGCACTTACAAGACCGGACATGCGGCTCGCCGAAAGCAGTGCTTGGGTAACATTCAAGCTTGACTGCGCCATTCATTGTCACCAGTTTTCCCTGCTTTAGGTCAACCACGAAATCTGCGCTCCTGTGAAATCTGCTCCCAATATTGTTTGCCCTATGTGAGGGCCAGTCGAGAACGAAAGCCGCATGGACTCGTCGCCCAGGCGCATTGAGTGCGTCGACGATCCACCAGTTTTCAGTCAGTATCCACCCAGTGCTCCTACGGCTAGCACACACGGTTTGCATTCAGCTTGTTTTCCTCTCCATCTCAGCGACATTTCTATCCCCGTATCAATCAAGCACAGCCATCCCTTCCCGTCTATCTTGATAACAGCCTGTATGGTAGCCTGTTTCACCGCGCTAATCGCAACCCACCTGAGAAAGGAGGCGCAACCCAGCATTTTATAATGTACACGTTGTCGAGACAAGAACATTGAGTCATCCAGCTTCCAAGCGCACCACAATTGTAGCACGACCTCTTTTGCATTTGCCCCGCGATTCCATCCGAATGCCTGCAAGCCATTTGGCGAGTTGTTCTTTAAGTCCTCCATGGTTGAATTATCCCTGTTCTTTTGCAACCGCAGTGTGGTCAGTGGAGCCTCGGTCTATTCGCGTGCCAGATGCACCAGGTGCCCTACACACAACTGGCAATTGCTGTCACTAACCGCAACTGAGCACGAGGCGCAGACTGCACCCCCTTTACGAACTGGTCGGGCAGCAGCTGGTGGCGAGGAACTCCGCCAAGTCCCTGCAGGGCCCGATCAAGCGACTGCTGCAGGCTGGCGGGTCACATTCAAGTTTCCATCCCAGCCGACTTGAACTACCTCATAGGCTCCTTGCGGTCGGCCGGTGTGTCAAACTCCGCTGTAAAAGCCTCCTTCGTGGCGGCCAAGTCCATCTTTCGCGAGCCCCTTCTGGCCTCATTTAGGGACACTTTCGCCCGGCATCCGAGGAGGTCTTCAGTGCCGCTATTTTGTCCCAGTCTGCCTCCATCCCAGCCACCACCGCAAACTTCTCGAACTCCTCCAGGAAAGTCCGCACATACCCATCCTCAAAAGGTTTTGGCTATGGAATCTTCATCCGTACCCTGGCGATGGCACAAGGCACGTTAGGCAACCTCCAAGTTGGCGGAAATAAGTGCCACGACGAAAACGGCTGAGCAACAACAGGACCGGCGGTTATTTACTTTCAGTCTTCTGACCATACGCTTTAACTTCCCCCAACCGCAAAATCTTTAGTGGAATTAAGTGGAATACGTACTGTTTATTTAGTGGAATACGTACCGTTCATCCAGTTTATGCCGGCGCATTTAGGCATTCATTCATTGCATCATCAGAAGGGTCGGCTTGCTGATTCTTACAGGACGAACAAGCAATTCCCAACAAATATCAAATAGATGTCTCCGATTCTGTTAGCTAAAAACCAGTATGCACAGGATTCTAGACTTTAGATCACTGCGCGCTTATCCTTTACAATTATTCAAAACACCGCTATCCTCAGTATGCGAGATTCCCTGGAACTACTTATTTCAATTGTGGTTCCTCCCTAGACGGTGCTAGACGTGAACACAGGCAGCCATTCCTCACACATGCATAAACAAGAGACACTTATATCGGGCGGTCTCATGCTTTAAACCCGTAATATATATATATTGCAGTTACTGTTATGGCTCGTTCACCTACACGGTTGACAAAAGCCGC